GCATGGAAGTTTCTGGGATAACATACTGCTCTCGCTTATAATTGTCATTTGAATGCTGTGCCAGCATATAGTTTGTCTAACCAAGTTGAGCCAGATGTTGTCGATCACACTTTGTCACGACGTGCCGCGACCTTCTTGCAAATATCTTAATGTTGAATTGGATAATTGGGTCAATTTTATTTTGACAGGATATGGTGGCAGTGAACGCAAATCAAAGTTTACATAACTCGTAACTTACAGTACTGTAGGAAACAAATCTTATGTTGTGAAATTCTTGTTGCCGTAGTTTTATAGTACAAGCTGGCTCAACAGAGCATCTTCTCTCAAGTGTACGATAATGCATCAAGCTTAATCATTTTCAGTGGAAATCTCAGGTAAACACTTCATGATGTTAGAGAACAACCTGTTGTGTAAAAATAAATAAGTTTGGATAATTGCTAATGTAGATTTACTGTCACAAGTTCTCGCATTTTGGACGCTCTGGCTTCAGTTCGATATCACGATAGTCGATATTGATCCTGTGATGAAGAAAATTGCGCGGAAATGGTATCAATACCGAGAATCTCCTAAACATCGCATTGTCATCAAGGATGGGTTGGAGTTCGTTCAAAGTGCAGCAGACAAAGGTTACGCGTCTTCATTTGCAAATAGTTTATTGATTGAATATCACTTTTAGGGGAAAAGTACGATGCTGTACTCGTAGATTTATGTGTTAACAAGAAAAGGGATCTAATGTGTCCGACAGAACACTTTGTCGGCGATGTGGCAATGTCGAACCTAGCTGCTATCACTGCTAACACTGGTTTGCCACTTTATCTTTAGGAAACATAGTAGAAGCAGTTAATTCAGTTTTAGCTCTCATAGAGTGCTGCAAATAAATTGACTGCTTCTAGTATTTTTCTGGACAAATTCAGAGCTATTGTGGCGCATTGCTATTATTCCGCATTTCAGGAGTTGTGATTGTAAACATAATCACAGGAAGAGGAAAGTATTACGAAGCTGAAAAAGTTAGTTTTTTGCGGTATAATTTTTAAAATCAATACACAACATATTTCCTAATGAAAAAACACCTAAGCGATGTTATAATTGTGTCACCAAATATGAGCTTCTTCTTCTATTTAAACGCTTTCAGAACTACTTTAACAAGCTGATATTCACTGATATATAGTTTTCCTCATTTACTTTTCTCGCATTCAAAGCATTGAAGGAAGAGGTTCATTGGGTTGAAAAGCAAATTCTAGGCTATTAAGGCTAGTCACAAGCACCTGTATATGTGTGCTCAAATTCCAGACTTTAACTCTTCTGGGGAAGTTTGTACAATGAAACTAGCGAGCCTTTTGCCCTCTCATCATAGGTGTTGTAATTCAAAAACAGATTATTGCAGCATCAGAATTTGAGTGGCTAACTAAAATCTATGTATTTGTCTCCAACATAAGTTTAAAGCACGGTGACTTAAACAAAACTACAGTTTGGCATGGTAATACACTTCTTCTCGAACCAATGTTTTTATACAAAGTAGCGGAACACTAACACCATGGTATTTATATCAAAAGCAACATCGGACGCTAAACTTCAGTACACTAGAGGAAGTTTAGAAATCCTTGTTGCAATGGTTAGAAATGAGGCACTAAAACTGATTATTTGCTATAAAAACTTACTAAAAGTAGTAATTTTAAGAAAATTGAAAAATCAAACTTTATCCAAGAAATAATAGAGAGAAACATCGAAATGGAAAAGAAACTAGCCCAGTCGGAGGCGATACGGTTCTGCGCGATTTTCTCAAATTCGTGGCGATTTTGTAGCGTGAGGTATTTTTTAGAAGAAAATGCGTTCCGATTTGGTATGTATCACAAGCTAACCCTGAAGCGGTGAGTTTCTAGGGTATCTCGATACCTAGTGAGGGTATCTCTTATCTAAAGCACAATGTCGTGTGTGTGTGTGTGTGTGTGTGTGTGTGTGTGTGTGTGTGTGTGTGTGTGTGTGT